CCCCATTGGAGCGATGAGTCAACCGGAGGGTCACATCTCCCCCCTATATGCACCAATCTTCCACACTCAAAACAGAAGTGCGGTATTTTCTCGTAATGAAAGTCGAACCAGGTGCAAGCCTTGTCCTCCCGTGAGGTCTTAAGATAGAAACCTCTGACTAGCGGTTCATAAACTGAAATTTTTGCCCGAACCCTTAGCTCGTTTCCTCTTGCACGACCATCCTTGTCCACATCCACTCTACCACTTCACCCAGCCAATTACCCAGGGCCTTCCCAAAAGCTTCTGTCCTCTTGTCCGGTGGCAGATCAGTGACCCTTACCCAAACATCTATCCTGTCAAAAATCATCTCAGAGGGCCTTTTGTCACCTTCATACTCCTTCATGATCAAAACATTAAAATCATACCGCCACGGCCCGTTGTTCATAGAATGGCGCCAATCCCCTTCACAGCCAAACTGCACCTCAAACACATTCGAGCCCAGCTCTCTGAATTTTGCTTCTTTGTGCAGTCCCCAGGCCCTGTGCATAGTCTTCTCCAAAACACTCCTCACTAGCGGTCTCGAGGAGCATACTTTGCCTACTGCCAGCCATCTAGGGGTTTTGGCCACTGGTTCATCCTCTGCAAAAACTATGCCTTCCGTTTCCTTATCCAACAATACCATCCATCCCAATCTAGCCGAAAGACTCGACGTAGGATCCGGGGTCCTGCTTTCGATCGGGGATTTAGATGCATCCCTGCTCGCCGTGCCACCCGATCTGCGCGTCACCGGCGTGGCTTTCTCCCCCACTGCCACCGTCGCGGCCGTGGGCGAGGCTCCTTTCTTTGCCAGGTTCGTCGATCCCCCTGTTCCTGCCAGTGGAGCAGGTGCCCTCTTTGGAGTAGCCGCCGCCACCGTCGAGGAAGATGCCATTTTCCCTGGATTTTCCGTCGTCTTTCCTGAAGTCTTCTCCGCCGTCGGCTCCGCCCCCTGGAGGAGAATCAACCTCGCCGGTCGGTGTCCTAGAAAGCGCCGTTGTCGTCCAGTCCACCACCGTACCTTCACCACCCCCGCACACGAAACCCTAACCCTAGCACAGGTTCGCGATCGTCATGCAATCGCCTCCCTGTCGCCTTAGCGAATCGTTACGTGGTGGACCCCTGTCTCTTGCGCTTCGGCAGTGTTATTACATATATCAGGCTGTAACAAATAGGGCAAGGCTGTTAGCTCCAGTGGTTAGAGAGGTCGTACATGGAACGAACATCCTGAGTTCGAATCGTGTGGCAGATCTCTTTTTTGGGATTTTTCCGCGCGAGTTCACTGGCCGACGCGTTTCGTGTGCCGGAGCCCTCAAGGCGGGATGATCAAATTGACTTTTTTTTCTCCGAAGCAAAGATCAAATGATGGGGTAGCCTTGTACCACGATACTACCACCAGCAACGTCCCAACCAGATAATCTGCGCGAGAGCAAGACACGCTAGGATGACAGTGCCACCGATCTGCCAACTGCCAACGATATATATCGACCTCACATCTTTTCTTGATATAACAGGGGGCACACAGCAACAACAACTTACAACTTCACAAAACAACAACAACAACAACAACTTACATCTCTAAACGTTATTGTTGGGTCGTCAAAGTTGTCTCAGCCTTGTTGGATCGTCGAAGTTGTCTCAGCCTAAAACCACCGAGCGTTTCTCATTAGAAAATCGAGACACCCATATCGTGCGATCACGTCTTGATGTTAGTCAACCATGACCCTCAATCAGACCCAACTTAACAAAGGAGTTTGTGTCCTAAGCTATCTGCCAAAACAGCGTCTCTCATTAGAAAATCCAGACACCCATATCGTGCTATCACGTCATGACGTTAGTCAACATAGACCCTCAATCAGGCCCATACTTAATAAAGGAGTTTGTTCTAAGCTGTCTGCCAAAACGAAAAGAAAATCTAGCTTAGTTAATGAATTACGGACGATTTCTAGATTATTTTTTTGAGGTGTTTTGAAATGTGAGAGCATAGAAACAAGTGGTTTTCAGTCCAAAATTTGCATTTAGCTGGTGTGGTAGAGAGAAGAGAGAAGGTGGCGTTGTGGTATGTCAATGTCAGGTTCAAAGCTAGTTTTTTTTTTCGGGGTTCAAAGCTGGTCACTATGAAACATCCGTTCTTTTTTTAGACGATCCTTAATTAGTGGTGCAAAGATCACCATCACACTTTATTTCTTGATTAACTAAACCAAAAGGTGCTCATTATTCCAGCTGTACTACAAAGGAAGAGTCTCTGGCTTTTAACAAGACACATCTCATGCAATATGACCAGCCAGTTAACATCCCCTCAACTTTGGACCTATATAAGGCGCCGGTAGACACACATGGAAACCTCAAACAACCCAAAAAGCACACAAAGAGAATATACATGGCAGCGTCACCACTGCCGAGATGGGCTCCTACGCCGAGCCCCACCAGGCCACCACAGTCGACGACGTCGTCGAGCACTGCTATGGTTTCATGGCGCGGCTGGTCGGCGTGGCCGTCAAGCCCCATCTTCTTCCCACGTTGTCTCTCTAATTCGGAGCCATGGGAGGCTTCGCCGGCCGATGGGGTAGTGGACAATGTGGAGCCCGGCGTTGCCAGGGTATTTCTGAAGTGGCAGGATCTATCGGTGACGGTCATAAATGGGAGAAAGGGCCATGCTGTGATCCTTGATGGGCTTAGTGGGTACGCGCGCCCTGGCGAAGTGCTGGCTCTCATGGGTCCTTCGGGCTGTGGCAAAACTACTCTACTTGATGCATTGGCTGGTATAACTTTCCTACCTTACAAAAAAACTGATAACTTGAAACGTCCATCTTCTGTAAAGTTACACTCTATCTTTTGTTCAGAAAAACTTATAATATATTTGTAAGATATGAATATTTGTTTTGTATTCCAGCTGTAATTTATTTTTGATTTTGCTAGTATTCTTTGTTTGTAAATAAGTTCTACACATCTAGCTACTTAAACTTGTTGCTATCTTTAGTTTTGTTTGATTTTGCTACTAGGTACTTTATAACTTGTTTGACACAAATATACAGAAAAAAAACCACTAGAAATTTGTACAATAAAATAAATATCAGTATATAGTTCTGCTCTTATCTCATGTTTCTATTAAGTGCATGGCTAAATTTTTCGGCAAAAAAAGTGCATGGCTAACACGCTCCTACTTGGACGGCTGCGCCCCTTGTGTCGACGTAAAAAAAGTGCCAATGTGAAAAAGGGTAATTGATACGGACAACCATAATTTACAGCACGATCGGTTAATTGGTGCAATACGATGCAACCATAAGCTCGCCAATGTGAAAATGAGTAATTGATGTGTTGCATCCAAGGTGATGCCACATAGCTCATGGCTCATGCACCAATGTTTTTTTAAGAGTAATCGCACCATCTTCCCGTCTCTGCATCTATATGATATGGACAACCATAATTTCCAGGGTTTAGAAAAAACATATTGTACGAGATTGGTTAATTAATTATCAGCTAATTTCTTGCAGTTGTGGTCTGTGGGTATATACCCTTGCATTTTGTGATATTACTTTAAAATAACATGCCTGCAGACAGATTGCAAAATACATCAACCTTTAGTTTGGTTAGTTCAAATCTAAAGTTACTGGCAAGTTTTTTCTTTTGCACATAATGTTTTATATATGCAAGTATTTTCTGTAAATATAGAAAGATGATCAGATATCCGATGTACAAATGAATATTTCATAGTCCACTTTGAAATAATCGCTTCCTTCCACATTTCTATGCATAAATAGTGTTCAATAAAATTCCGATGTGGGAACCAACCCGGCCTCATGATTGTCGAACGAGAAACACGCTCTCTAGTACTCCTGCTGGATTTCGCTATGTGTCTTCTTCCCATAACATTGTGGGCGCCACTTGTTTCCTCAGCTAAACCATAGTGATTGTGGACAATGTTAATGTTTGGTTTGTAAATACGTTTCTCCTTTACTTATGATCTGCACTACATATACATATGTATATGCTTATAAACAGGACGACTCAGACCTAACATGAAAGGGAGGGGAGACATCTTGATCAATGGTTGCCGTCAGAAGGTTGTATCCGCAACCTCCGTAAGTTCCACATATATATATATATATGCGCATGCCCGACGTTGATAGAGGTGTAATTAAACTTCGACGTTTGCGTGTAACTCCCTAACAACCTCCGATCACGTGCATGAAATGAAGGCGTATGTGACACAAGAAAATGTGCTGATGGCGACGTTGACGGTGGCGGAGGCGGTGCACTACTCGGCTCAGCTTCAGCTGCCGGACTCCTTGACGCCGGCTGAGAAGCGGTCATGGGCCAACGATGTTATCAGGCAGATGGGACTCGCCACGGTGGCCGGAACTCGGATCGGCGGGCGCGTTTGCAAGGGCATTAGCGGTGGCCAGCGGAAGCGAGTGAGCATCTGCATTGAGCTGCTGGCGTCACCGGCGCTCATCTTCCTTGACGAGCCAACAAGTGGGCTTGATAGTGCCGCGTCGTACCACGTCATGAGCCGCATTGCTGGGATCGCCAGAAGGAATGGGACGACGGTCGTCGCAGCCATCCACCAGCCAAGCACAGAGGTGTTTGAGCTCTTCCATGGCCTCTGCCTGTTGGCCAATGGGAGGGCGGTTTATTTTGGGCCAGCTTCCAAGGCAATAGAGGTACGTGTAGGTTAGTCGGTTAATGTTTTTTATGGTTGGTGACCCTGCGACTAGTGTTAGTATTACTTATGATTTATGAAAACATATCTTGTTCAATGTTGTGAAAGCTTATCTATAAAATATTGGTCCTGGGATTAGTGTTAGTATTACTTATGGTTTGTGAAAGCATATCTAGTGCAATATTGTGGCCTGAATTGCAACATAACCAATGTCCTCAAATGTGTCTGTGGGCGAGTGATAGGCACATGGCACAGTGTTTATATATCCAGTATTACTCAGGACAGAGAAACCAAACCACAAATACAGGGGCGTATAGGCTCTGTTTGGATAAATTCAGCCGCCAGTGAATTGCCCAAAAATTGGTTACTTAAATGGGAGGAGCCCCTGCGTATAGGGCGAGCCAAAAAATCAAACCCAAACCAAACAGATGCCTTCACAGCTGTCAACGCCAAAAAAAAAAATAGCCAGGCGGAACCTGTGTGCGATCCAAACAGACCCATAGTAATTGGACCCGAATATCGAGCAAATGTTAGATTTTTAGGCATGACAAATCGAACATTTAGCTGATATTCGGGTCCAATCATGTTCGCCAAGAATGACAAGTTTAGCTGACGAGCATGATAAATCTGTCCCCGCTTTTTTTTGCCAGGAAATCGCCGTGCTTACAAATTAAATTTGCCATATTCACGTCAATATAAATTTCCATGAAAAATGTTCGATTTACCACACCTGAAAATCAGACGTCAGATTTTTAGCATTTCCGTACTAATTTGAGCGCCCCCCACCCCCCTCCGCGTGGAAAAGCAATAAAATTTGGCCCAGAATTTAGGAAAAAAGACATCTCCACTTTTAACCTCCACGACTGTAGTGTGCATAGCTGTTCAGCCTAGCGGCACCACGAGCATTTGAAAAATATCGGGTGGTAAAATCTCGAGATATTTTGGTGGTAAAATCTCAAACTTGACACCTACATGTCTAACAAACTAATTAACACAAAGCAGTACAATTATTAAGAAAGTTGTTTTAGCACACATGACAAGTGCACATACAAAACTAATGAGCTTACGACTTAAAAAACCTAATGAGCTTCATACCAGTCGATTGTTAAATGCAAGTGCAACTTCAGTGTCTCTCTGTAAAATAAATAGCAAACATTTGAAATATTTACTTCTGACTTGAAAGCCCGTACAATATTGACTAATGCAATTAAGTACTACAAGTACCACATCAAGAGCGTTGAGAACTCCCATCACATACAGTTTGCTAAACCGTTTGAGACAGAAGCTAGTGGTAACAAAAATATCATCAGAGGTTTTGCAACTGCCTATGATACCCGAATACAACACACAACTATAGTTCCAATCCATCCTTGATTCACTTTTTGGTTGTAGCAAGAACCTGTATACTCTTGCAACCCATAGCTACTTCCAAGTACATCCTGGCATCGAGTTCCGGGTCCACACCTGGATCTCCTTGTCATTCTCGCCATGGCATCATGCTTAAAGGGTTGGACAAAGAATCCACCTCAATAAAAAATAAACACTTCTTATATGAATATTTCAACATAATGAAAGGCCGAGTCTTTCAATTACTTATAACCTAGACTTTCTAAGTAATTCCAATGTTTGTAGGAGTTCAAACGTGTGCGTATGAGGTAGAATGTCAGCATGCACCGGTAACATCAAAATTGTATACATTTCTCAGATTTGCAATTTAAACATTTTTTGCAGTAAATTTGTTAACTAATGTAAATGATGCTTTTCTATAACCATTACTATATTTTTCTAAAACAACTTTTGCTTGTGAACCATTTATGCACATTTATATTTAAAAAATAGGCATTAGTCTATATTTATAAACGTGTGCACACAGAAGATACTTTCACTTGGATATGTCTGGGGTGTCGCTAGGTTATATTTTTTTCATGAAAGATTATTTCTACAGTGTGTACAAAATCACCCATGCTCATTTGGGTAACTTGTAGTTCTTTGATGCTAATGGCTTCCCATGCCCATTGAGGAGGAATCCTTCTGATCACTTCTTAAGGATGATAAACACGGACTTTGAGGTATGAACATGATCTCTCAAGGCTTTGTGTTTTTGTATGGAGAATTTAACTCGAGTGAAATTGAAAGGCGTATCCATCATGTTCGTGTAGGAAGCCGAGGAAGAATCAACTGTAAATTTGGCACATGCTGCAAAAGTAATCCAGACTCTAGTGGCTTCTTCTGGCTCTCTTGCTATTTTAGGAACAAAAATGGAAGCAAGGAAAACAGTTAAGCAGGTCTCTTCTTTAAATGGACTAAATTGATGCATTGGGTTGAGTTTGTGAGATTATATATGTCTCACTTATATGCTTTTGCGTCTCCATTGTTTTTGTTTCAGGAGGGTGACCGTGTACTTCAACGAAGGCAAGCAACGTTCTGGACCAAATCAATTGTCCTAACCAAAAGATCAATGCTTAACATGCATAGAGACATAGGATATTATTGGTTACGTTTTGTTATCAACATCGCACTTTTTCTAACCATTGGGACCATTTTCTTCAATGTTGGTCACAATTATGCATCGATCCAAGTGAGTAGTCGATTTCTAATCTATAAAATAGAAAGTGAAAATAGTAAGTATCAACAGGTTGACATACTACTCAATTTATGTTGACCATTTTAGGCACGAGCATCTATGCTTATGTTTACATCAACCTTCATGACAATGATGGCAATCGGAAGTTTTCCATCATTTGTCGAGGATATGAAGGTAGGTATCATTATTCTTTCAAAAACAAGTATAATTTTTTTTGTTGATTTCTATTAAATAATAATTTGTAAAATGCAGGTATTTGAGAAAGAGCAGCGGAGTGGACACTATGGGGCCATTGAATTTGTAATAGCCAACACACTTTCATCAACTCCATACTTGGGCCTCATCTCCGTACTACCTGCTGCAATTGCTTATTACCTAACCGGACTTCAAAGAGGAATAGAACACTTCTTCTTCTTTGTTGCCACTCTATGGGCATGCACAATGTTGGTTGAGGGTTTGATGATGATT